CCCCAAAACCCCAAAACCCCAAAACCCCAAAACCCCAAAACCCCTTCAAAGAATAAATACCTGAATATCCAAGTTTCTATTAATTTTAATTAATACACTCCTAAAGAAATGGAAGGAAAAAGAAACGATCACTTCTTCTTCGCCTCTGAGTCCGTTGGTGAAGGTCATCCAGACAAGCTTTGCGATCAGATCTCTGATGCTATCTTGGATGCTGCTCTTGAGATCGATCCAGAAGCCAAATCTGGACTTGAGACTGCTACCAAGACTGGAATGATAGTTTTGCTTGGAGAAATCAGAATGAAGGACAGAGATAAGATCGACCTTGAGCAGATCGCAAGAAAGGTATGTAAAGAAGTAGGATTCACTTCTGAAGAGATTGGACTTGACTGTGAGAAATGCCAAGTAATCATCAATGTCCCAGACCAGTCTGAGGAAATTGCTCAAGCAGTACATATTGATAAGGAAGAAGACATTGGTGCTGGAGATCAAGGAATCATGTTTGGATATGCCTGTGATGATGACGAAGAGACTCTCCATCCACTAACCCATTTGTACTGTAACAGAATGTGAGAGAAGATGGCTGAACTTAGAAGATCTGGAGAACTTGGATGGTTAAGACCAGATTGTAAGAGTCAGATTACCATGGAATACAAAAAGGAAGGAAAGGATTATGTGCCAGTCAGAGTACACAATGTTCTTATCTCCACTCAGCATGATCCAGATGTTGAAGGATTGGAAGAAGCAATTAAGGAGAAAGTTATTCATGCTGTTATTCCAGAAAAATACTTGATTGATACTACTTACTTCATTAACCCAAGTGGTTCATTCGTTAGTGGAGGTCCAGAAGCTGATGCAGGACTCACTGGAAGAAAGATCATTGTTGATACTTATGGAGGATGGGCTCCACATGGTGGAGGTGCTTTCTCTGGAAAGGATGCCTCAAAAGTAGATAGATCTGCTGCTTACTATGGAAGATATGTTGCCAAATCTTTGGTTGCTGCTGGACTTGCTAGAAGAGTTTTGATCCAAGTTTCCTACTCCATTGGTGTAGCTAAGCCACTCTCTATTCATGTTGATTCTTATGGAACTGTAAAGGAAGGACTTGATGATGACGATCTTGCCAGAATTATAGATGAGAACTTCGACTTTAGACCATCAAACATTATTAAAGAATTAGACTTGAAGAGACCAATCTTCAGAAAGACTGCTGCTTACGGGCACTTCGGAAGAACTGACCCAGACTTCACTTGGGAGCAACCAAAAACCTTAAACATTTAACTGAGAGTTATTTTAAATAAGCCTCCAATAAATAAGCTTGTTATTTGTATTTTATTGATTCTCCATCTTTAATAAAATGGGCTAATCATAATTAAGTTAATTAAAGTTAGGCTGGGACAACGCAACGATTTTCTTTCAATTTTATAAAATACTAAGGGGTTTTGGGGTTTTGGGGTTTTGGGGTTTTGGGGTTTTGGGG